CTTGATAGCTATACCTCTCAGATACTCCTTCTCCTAATCTCTAAAATACAAGTAAAACCTGTCCCACAGGGTTGTGGTGAGAAAAGTGCTTAGCACAATGGCCTCACATAGGCCAAGTCAAAATAGCTGCCCTGTTAGAAGTTTTTTAAGCCGTATGATTGATATCAATTTACCTTTCAAACATTGCACAGTTATTTTTTCTGGATCATAATTAGATTCATCTATTTACATCTAATATTTAAAATAAAAACATCTAGTAATCAAAAATTTAAGGCAAAGGAAGAATATTACAGCACTTTTAGACTTCCAAATTAAATATTGTTTTAGATATTATTCAAGTTTGGAGAGACTACAGTGAGAAAGAAATCACATATACTAGTGGTGGCAATGTTGACTGCTATCACATCTCCAAAGAGAATTTGTTATTCCAAGGTCCTTATCCCTTGATTTAGTAACCCTAGTACAAGTTTTCCTTGGGAAATAGTTAAAAATACTAATATTTTTGTCCAAAAGTTCATGAAAAATGACAACAACCTAAATCCTGAATATGAGACAAATGTGCATAACAAAAACATACATCCATAGAATTAGATAATAATTATTTAAAATGATGCTTAAGGAGTTTAATCATATGGAGAAATGTTATATGTTTACTGAGATACAGAACTACCATACAGAGTAGAACATTAACTATATAAAAATGCATAGAAAAATGGGAACTAAGAAAAAAATTACTTTTAGTTTAAATTTATTTAAACAAAAATACAGCTTTATTTTGAATTCATCATTGAATATTTTAACTAAATAAAAATCAATGACTTACATTAATTTCCTAATTTTTTTTTCACTGGCCAACTTATAAACTTTTTTATATTAATTTTAAAAGTGCTATCAGGTGTCTTTCTTTGCCATGGGTGCCAGAAATTTTTAATTAATGTAGATCTCCATTATGTTGTTGTTGTTGTTATTATTATTTGAGATGAAGTCTCTCTCTATTGTCCAGGCTGGAGTGCAGTGGGGCAAACTCAGTTCACTGAAACCTCCATCTCCCAGGTTTAAGCGATTCTCCTGCCTCAGCTTCCTGAGTAGCTGGGACTACAGACACGAACCACCATGCCGACTTTCTCACATTTCTAGTAAAGACAAAGTTTTACCATGTTGGCCAGGCTGGTCTCAAACTCCCAACCTCAAGTGATCTGCCCGCTTCGGCCTCCCAAAGTGCTGGCATTACAGGTGTGAGCCTCCATTCTGATCAGTCTCCATTATATAATTCTTTTGAAATTAATTAATGGTAGAATTATTTTCTCCTTATTGATAATTCTTTCAGCCTTTAATTTATTTTGTGTGTATGTGTATGAAAATGCTTTTGAGTACTGAATATATGCTTTTTAATGTATTAAGCAATGGCCATTAAAGTAAAAGGAAGGTATGTGTTTGCAAAATAAGAAATGTAGGATATCCCCAGTGGGCTATTTTTTAGTATTTAATGGAAAATGTGGAAGCCACCCAGACAGAGTAAAGATCTCAAAAAAATCTCAGTTACATCACTGGGTCTTATCTTAAAAGACTCATTTGTTGCATAGTGACAAATATCTTATAGCAATTCCTACACTATTCAGGCCATGCACAATCATCTTGCTAAGGAAGCAAAATTATGACTCCAGGACTTCTTGAAATATGAGGAAACATAATTACTTTTAAATATTATTTTCATAGTAAAACGTTAGCTTAGAAAAGGATGCTAACAACAATAAATATCCATTATGAGTAATTCTGACTCATTTTGAATTTGATTACCAGAATGACAAAAAATTCACTAGGTAAACTGATTGCCAACTTAAGCTGTTTTTCTCAGCATGCTTCCGAATTCTGTAAGACTAGCTTTTTTAAGAAAGCTTAACTGCCATTTTTAAAATTCCTTCCAAGACAAGGTATTTCCTGACTTGGCAGAAATTAAAGCCTAAAATAATTGTCTCTTGCCATCACAGGTTAAGGGATTATAGTACAATTTATACAAACTGGGCATCAAGCAGTTAAACAGTAAGGCTTAGGTTGAGGTCTGGCTGCACCCCAAGGCCTGCAGGCAGCCGTTGGCACTCCTCAGGTTCAGTGGGAGGTGTTGTGTATGAGACAGGAAACAACCTTAGTGACAGGTGTGTTTGATTAATGAGGGAGAAAGAGGGAAGCCATCTACAGCTTCCCAACCAATGACAAAATATGGCAAGCCCTTCTCACAACCAGAGAAACAGAATAGCCAAAGGGAGAAGGGGTCAGGGTGGCATCAGCAGGAAAAATGTCCTGTCTCACAGAGACCAGTATGGGAGAAGCAGAGGCTTGTATTAGAGAGTTGGACATACTTTATTAGAAAATTAATGAAATTATTGTATCTTTTCTTGAGGGAATACCATTTATTTGAACTTCAGGCATAAAATCTGAGTATTTTCAGAATGTCCTCTCTGAGATTGGCACGGAAGGACAGTACTAACCAGGCAAGCAGAAAATATTAGGTCACAAGAGACATATTACAAGCAGAATAAAGAAAACGTAGACACACAACAAAGATCTAGGAGGAGATGCTTTCCTAACTCCTAACTGAGATAAATGAAGAAAGATTTATTAGTAGGAACACTGACATTGTAGCATGAATTACACCTGTTAACAGTATTTACAGTTTGCTGGATACATATACATCTATACATAAGGGTATATGTATATATGTTTATATATGTATATGTGTACAAAGGTGTGTATATATATACATATATACACATAGGCAAACACATGCCATTCTTTTCAACTAACTCCTTTTGCCATTTTTCCAAAGTCCTGTGGAGCAATGATAGAGACTACCTGAACATGTAATAACTCAGCTAACCTTTACTCATTCCCCTGATGCCAGGTGAACTTTACTTAGAAATCAGAGGTCACTAAGACCTTATACTAACTGAAAACTTCATGTACATTAGGATAGTCAAGGTGAGCCAGGAATACTAGTTGCTTTTGTTAGATTTTCTTCCCTCTGAAACCTAATCTTCCAAATTCAAAGAAATTGCCACAGAGCAAAATAATTTGAACAAGGACTGATTATCTAATATGATCACTACCACATTTCAAGTACGACCTCATCTAACCCATCTAAATACTTGAGAAAATTTAGATTTTCAAACTATTCAAAGTACTGAAATTCCACACATGTCCTTGGTAATTCTCTGCTTCATTCAATAAATCTCCTTTCCAGATTACCACTTTCAAAATATTATTTGCCAACACACAGAAAATCAAAGATTTCCCTGAAAGGTTTATTGTCTTTCTACCAAAGCAACTCTTATTAGACTTCCAAATATTGAGAGAATTCTAATAATTACTATAATTCAAATGTACACATACATATGTATCTATGCATATCCATATACATATATGTAAAATTTTAAGTTATAGTGCTCAACTTACACTACGCACCCATTTTTAAGTGTGTAAAAATATACTTGAAATGCAAAAAGTGTAGTTTTGTTTTCGGAAATGCAGTTTGCTTTATAACTTCATTGTGCTGATACCATAGGGATCCTCATCAAAAAGGTACAATTTTGTTTAATATACAAAATAAATACAATTGTATTGGCAAAAATTTTCTCTCATAAATTGACAACCAAAATCTTCTCTTCTAAAAGTGTTTTCTTTTAAGGTTTGTTTTTGGTTTTGCTTTTACATTGAATCCAAAACACTGTAACTAATAATGATAGTTGTTACCATTCATGAAGTGCTGAGAGAAACCAAAATGTATGTCCCTTTAAGATGACTGTCAGTTAAAATTATTCATCACAGCTAAAGAGGAAAAAAAATCTGCTTAAACTTGTAGCAACAACATTTTCATACAGTGTTAATTAGATCAAAGTGAACACACGTCTTTTTAAAGTAAAATGAAATATTTCTACGGTTTATTTTTTAAAAAAATATTTAACTCAAGAACACCACCAAAAACAAATAAACTCTAAAGCTTATTTTATATAAATGCTAAAATCTATTCAATTTTTTCATCATAATGAATAACAAAACCAAGGACAGTGGAGTGAAATTATTAAGTATTTTTGGTTTGTATAAAAGCTTGGAATAATTACTTAGATTAATTCCCAGACTGTTTATTAAAACATTGTTGTTGCTTATTTAAGACAGTAGTAATTGTTTAACCCCCTAGTCTCCCATGATTTAAATATTCTAATAGCCCTAACATGCTATTAATGTTAATAGATTCATTCTTTTATAACTATATTAGAAATTTGTCATCTGCCTTTTAGTCATTTACATTGCAGAAAAAGTATTCTTATCATCCCATTAAAAAAACCATTCATGTTAGTTATAGAAATCCATATAACTTTCATTCTTTCCACAGCTCCTAGGAAAGTGCCATCTCATATGGATGCCAAATAATATTTCAAACAGAATTATAAAAAGCCTAGATACAATATATTTGAACCACTATTTTCTACTGGGCAAAATTTTTAACTTACACAAAGTTCTTAACAGTTTTTAACTGTTCTTAACATAATAGATTCTATGGTGTTTATTCATATTCAACCAAACAAACTTTTTTTATTAATGTATTACAGAGACCACAAGGATTAGAGATGGGAATAAAACATTAAAACCTTTTATTTGGAGTTTACATGTGAAAACCAAATAGTCCTCAAAAGCTATTTTTTTTTTCTTTATTTCATGAATGATTGGATCACTGTTATATTAATTTAATAATTAAGATGTTCATTTAACTTAGCTTATTTCATCTTCTTACTTGCGGTACATTAACCCAGGAAAGTACAAATAACATGAACTCTTAGTAAGAAGGTAAGCTGGTAATAAGTAGTTGAAACTTCTAAGATTATCAATTTATTTTCTTCACTAAAAATGTATTTTTTGCTCAGATATTTGGCCACCCAAACATTTCAAAATAAACCCATAGACTTACCTCCATATGTAATATATATATATATATACATATTACTTACCTCAGTCAAATGTGGTGTAGGGTTAAATCCACAGAGATTACACACTTGATTCTTGCATTCAGTGCAAGTATTGAAGTTAGGAGCATCCTTAGAACCTATATTGAGTTCAGTTTTGCAGACAGGACAGGTTGGTTGTGGTTTGGGAGATCTCTCCAGTTTTGTGGGAAGGACAGCCTTTTGAGGCTCAGCTGTTAAAGATTTGCTATCCTTCATAAGTGGTGGCTTTTTTTCTGTTTCTGTTCTTTTTACTGTTGGAGCTTGTTCAGCTTTGGGCTCTAATTTTTCAGCTGCTGGGGCTTTTGTTTCCTTTTTCACAGGTATAATTTTTGCAGGTGCTGGTGGTGCTTGACCTGTGGATTTGGGTGGCCCTTGTGAAGCAGGTGGCTGTGAAGGGGCAGGGGCTTGTTTCGTTGGGGCCCCTGGTCCACTTTGTGAATGAGGTCCAGGTTGACCTGCAGTGGAAATTAAATTTGATGCCTGGCTGAAGATTGATGCTCCAAACCCAAAGAGTTTCCCAGTCACGGTCTCTTGAGGAGTTGTAGGCTGTGATTTGGGGGCATCAGTAATACTTCCCAGATTCAGACTGAAACGTCTTGACTGCTCCTGAGGCTTTGGGGGCTGTTGAGGTGTGGGGACAGTTTGGCCAGCAGTAGGTCGTGGGCCAGGGGGTGTTGGTGACCCTTTTGGCATTGGCTTGGCATCTGGTTTAGGACTCATTTTGGTTTGTGCTTTCTTGGGCTCTTCCTTCTTTTGTACGGGGTCAACTTGTTTTTGACCTTTGCCCTCTGAACTAGGACCAGGATGTGAAATAATTTTTGAATCTGATGCAGGTCGAGGTATGGCTTTAGAATCAAATGGGGTGACTTTTTCCCCTGTTGGTGGAAAACTCTGTGAGGGTTTGGCAGAGTCTGTTTTTAGAGGAGGGGTTGTTTTCTCTTCAGCTTGTGACTGTACTTTGGAGCTTGGAATATCAGGTGTTGTTGCTGATGATGAAGATACAAAGTCTGTGGTTGGCTTTACCATCTTGGGCTGCTTTGGTTTATCATCAGCAACAGGGGCCTTGTCCTGCTCAGATGGGACAGAAGGTTCTTTGGGAGGGGCTGGCTTGGATGAAGAATCTGCCTCAGGAGGCTGCTTGGCCTTGGCTGAAGGAGAGCCATGGAGGGTTGGTTGTTTCACTAGTGGTGGCTTTTTAGGCTCAGGTACCTTGGAGAGATCCTGTTTTGGTGCAGCATCCTTCTTTGGGGAAGTCTGCTGTGGCTGTGGGGATGATTTGCTCACTGCTGATGTAGCGGTAACAGGTGCAGCCTTCGGTTTGGGCTGGGGTGATGATGGAACTGGAGCCAGATCCCCACCTAGAGCTCTTTTCATTTGACAGTTCAAACAGAGCCACTCTTTTACCTACAAATAAAATAAAACAATGGTCACCAAGACAATAATGCTGTAAAAACACAAAAATGTTTTCAAAACATGCGTACTGCCATTTGAAACGATGTCTCTCATCATTCAAAGCAGAAAATGCAGAGAAAATTATTTTAATAAATTGTTATTCATAATTAGTGGGCCAGGTGTAGTGGCTCACATCTGTAATCCCAGCACATTGGGAGGCTGAGGTGAGCGGATCACGAGGTCAGGAGTTTGAGACAAGGCTGACCAACATGGTGAAACCCTGCCTCTACTAAAAATACAAAAATTAGCTGGGCATGGTGGTGTACGCCTGTAATCCCAGGTACTCAGGAGGCCGAGGCAAAAAAATCGCTTGAACCTACAAGGCTGAGCTTGCAGTGAGCCGAGATCATGCCGTTGCACTCCAGCCTGGGAGACAGAGTGAGACTCTGTCTCAAAAAAAAATTATATATATATTAAATTTATATATATATTCATATACATATATAAAATTTATATTTAATATATGCATATATACCTATATGTATATATATCTATATGTGTATGTGCATGTGTGTGTGTGTGTATATATATCTCCTCAGGGGCTAAAGTACCCTATATTTTAAGGAATAAAGTAAAAATCAAAATATAGTTTTGTGTTTCTTCTAATGGTAATTCTGTTATTCTTTGCCTTTGATTTACTTAAATTTTTATTATTCCCAGAAATAGAAAACCATGTACAATTTTAAGAAAAAGCAAGTTTTATGTTTTTTTTCTTAACAAGCTTTCACAAAACTTGTTTTTTCTTAGATTATACATGGTTTACTATTTCTGGGAATAAAACATGTTAGATACCATAAATCAGTTATGAGAGTTATTTCCTCTATTGATGGCTCATAATCAATTTTAAGATATACAGCCCAGAGTAGGATTGCTAAATTATGAACATATTGCTAATTTTTAAAATTGGCAAAGCATTACTCCCCCCTCCAACGTGAAATTCAAATATTTTAAAATACAAATTGTTAACCATGCTGAGTTAGAAATAGGATATTCTCTATTAACAAAGTAAATAAAAAATAATAGCACTCCCTCAAATGATCACAAATAGCATGATTTAATAGAGGAAACATGGTTTCCTTAGAAATTTTATGAAGATACTTGAAAAAGCAATATGAGTAAGGAATGTACATATTTGACTGGTGATATATACATGTACGTGTATGCATGTGAATGGCAGAGATTTGTATATATATGACATATACATATACATATACACAATATGCAAATGCTTTTTTTGTATTGCATCTATTGTGAAAAGGTGTTGTGTTTAATACTATATTTTAGAAGATAATTTAAAAGTACCTATGTTTAACATTTACCTTTTTTATTATTCTAAAATAATGTTTCCTTATAACTATTTTAAATATTACCAAAATAATTTAGAATATATAATTATACCATGATCCAACTTTCTCCACCCAATGTAACCAATGTAAATAATTTGGCACTGAAATTCTTTGTACAGAATGCTGCACAATGAAAAATATATATAAATATAAAGAGCACAGGCACCAGACAAATTTCCCACAGTACAAAACTGCAAAGTGTTCAGCTGGCAAACAGTACATTTTCTATTTTCAAACAATTTCTTTTTGAAAAAAAAATTGAATTAATTATTCCTAGACATTTTAAAACTTCTTTGAAATTATTTAAACTCATATACCAGTATCACAAGGCTTATTTTGCATTCTCATGGAAAGTAAACTGATGTTTGGAGAAGGTTAAATGAGATTTTCAATTTGAACTGAAATGTTATACTTCTGTTTTAAAATCTGAATCAAAAAGTAAAATTATGATATTGTTAAATATGGGTGGTAGGTATATGGATATTCATTCGTTCATTCAATTTATTTATTTATTTATTTATTTATTTATTTAGGGACACAGTCTCGCTCTGTCACCCACGCTGGAGTGCAGTGGCTTAATCTCGGCTCCCTGCAAGCTCCGCCTCCCGGGTTCACGCCATTCTCCTGCCTCAGCCTCCCGGATCGCTGGGACTACAGGCGCCCGCCACCACGCCTGGCTGATTTTTGGTATTTTTTAGTAGAAACAGGTTTTCACGGTGTTAGCCAGGATGGTCTCTATCTCCTGACCTCGTGATCTGCCCGATTCGGCCTCCCAAAGTGCTGGGATTACAGGTGTAAGCCACCGTGCCAGCCATGGATATTCATTATATTTGTTTTCAATATGGGTATTATACACCTCTGTACTCACTATATTGTCTTAACCTTTCTATATGTTTGAAGCATTTCACAAAATAAATAGCTCTTTATACATATAAATATTTTAAGTCCCAAAACAATCAAACAATTGCTACTTCTGCAAGTACCATGACAAAAGGCAGGCAAAAATGTAAGAACAATTTCACTCCATTTTCTTTCATGGAAGGAAATATGTCTATAAATATGCATCTACCCACTCACCCATATCCCCCATTATCAATGTCAACTCTGCTGTTCTACTGTGTGTTTTTCTCATTAATTTTCTTCCATAGCCTCACATGATCACCTCATGATCATGCAGCCAGACAAAATAAGAAAAATATAATTAAAGGCATAATTCTTACATGTATAGTCACTGACATTTTTCTATAAAATACCTATTACATGCAAGATCTGTATCCATATTAACTAGTTTAATTTATAAATTTCCAGGATTAGTAATTTTCATTAATTGCTTTTATGCTTTTTAACAAGTGTCATAACCAAAGTAGTTTCAAAATAAACAATACTTATTCTTTTATTCAAATATGTATTGAGCACCTTCTACAAGGCAAATACCACTGAATAAAAGGTGCAAAAATCAGGCCGGGTGCTGTGGCTCAGGCCTATAATCCCAGCACTTTGGAAGGCCAAGGTGGGCAGATCCCTTGAAGTCAGGAGTTTGAGACCAGCCTGACCAACATGGTGAAACATTGTCTCTACTAAAAATACAAAAATTAGCCAGGCATGGTGGTGCATGCCTGCAGTCCCAGCCATTCAGGAGGGTGAAACAGGAGAGTTGCTTAAACCTGGGAGGTGGAGGTTGCATTGAGCCGAGGTGCACTCCATCCTGGGTGACAGAGCGAGACTGTCTCAAAAAGAAAACACACAAACAAAAAAAGCAGCAAATATCCCTGTCCTGATGAAGGTGATATAACAACCAAACAAGTGAATGCATACGACAATTTCAAGGTTATGGTAGATATCATAAGTGGGATTTGAACAATGAGAACACATGGACACAGGGAGGAGAACATCACACACCAGGGCTTGCTGGGGGGTGGGGAGACAGGGGGTGACAGCATTAGGAGAAATACCTAATGTAGATGATGGGTTGGTGGGTTCAGCAAACCACCATGGCACATGTATGCCTATGTAACACACCTGCACGTTCTGCACATGTATCCCAGAACGTAAAGTATAATAAAAAAAAGAGATTAAAAATTATGACATAAAATCCCAATTCAAATTGCTTTAAAAAGAGAAAACAATTATCTTTAGATAATAGTCAGTGGACTATACAGATGGCAGAATTAAAGCCTCATCATATTTTCTAACAGAATTTTCTGATAGACTTGATTAAATAAAAATTTTAAGCATCACTAAACACATACAAGAAATAAATTTAAACCTGCACAAAAATTAAAGTACAATGAATGAAGAGAAGATGTACTCGAAAAAAGAACTGAATAAATATTCTACATATAAAAAAAAAATCTGATGATATTGTGGTGATTCTTTGCTGCTAGTTTCTCTTTTTTTCCTCTGAAAAATTTATTGGAATGTATTTGGTTTGATTGGTAAAATTCTAAGTTTCTTTGCAATCTGAACATTGAAGCTTCATACATAGCCAGTAGGCCCTAACATTATCTTTGGACAACTATAAAATTAGAACACTACCAGACATATTTAATGTATGATGTATATCAACACTGGGACACATTTTATATTATCTTTATTCCAAAATCAAATGATTCTCTGTGGTTTATAAATGTACATGGATATATCTCTACCTAAGCAGAGTTAGGAGAGTTAGTAAAAAAAGGTGGAAAATAGGAGTCACTGTCCCTTCACAGGGAGAGAATTCTGCTTCTCTCCTAATATACCCTTGGCTTGAACAGACTCCACCCCCTCATCTTTTGTCCTTTAAATGACCACATTTATTTTAACTTTGATAAACAACACAGAAAAGATATTTGATCCATCAGTTTTTGCCCCTCATTGCTATAATACAGGTTGAAATCATTATCTATGGCTAGCACAACATAAAAAGCTTTTATCCTCTTAGGATTTTTTAGAAAGCACCTTCTTTTTATTTAATTATACTGGCCAAATCTATTGAAGGTAGAAACGATTTGTATTTCAGCACTTAACAATCTTATACTGAAAACAGCGCATTTGCAAGCCCCTGATTCAACTGACAAAAAGAAAAAAAGCAAAGAATCTTTCCTATATATTGACCAAATGAAAAAGTCCATAACCAGCCCCAGCATTAACATCACAAACCATCTTTGATGTCAGTCAGGTCTTTCACAGCGCACTTAGGGTGAACAATGGATAGTAACACTCCCACTGCTTTCTCAGTTATCCAAGTTCAAAATCTCACAATATTTTTACCACATTCCCATTTATTCCGAAGTGGGTCTGGATTGCTTGTGAAAGGTTCTCTCACATTTCCAAAGCCACTGTCTCTCATTTGGCCATTATTATTCCTCAAACACTTCACATTAAGCCTGTTTAATACGATCACACCCCTTCTAACCTCAATGCCTCCATGAAAAGTAAAAATTTTTACAAGAAATTTAACGTATCTAATTCTGTTGGTGTTTATGGTAGTATTTATGTAATTCTGTAATTTCCAAGGCTGTATCTCCCCAAAGACTCAAAACAACAAACTGTAAAGACTTACTCATAGTAGTCTTTCTATTAATCTCCAGTGTATAAATGACACTTTAAGCATCAGTTATGTTC